CAACCATCCGTAATGAGATTGAATGCCCTCTTCTGGTGTGTCTGAAGACAGCTACAGTGTACTCATAAATAAAATAAATAAATTAAAAAAAAAACAAAAAAAAACAAAAAAAAAAAAAAAGAAAAACACAAAGCACAAAACATCACCACTCTAGTGTATCTCTATAAAAGGTAAGGGCTCTTTTGAAAATCACTTTAAAAGCACTTTTGCATGGTTTAAAGTCTTTAATACCTTCAAACATCCAGTCAGTGTTTGCCCAGGGTAGCCGATAAACATCTACTTAGTCTGAGATAGCCAAGAAAGAACCACACATCCATTGTAAGTGGTTAATAAATCCCCCTTTGACATGTGACCATTGCCAGTTTGGTTAATATTGTCCACTGGTTAGGTCATCTTTCCTTTAGCATTTCTTACATTGTTTTCATTCAAAGGGTGCTTTATATTCTTTAATTATTTTTTAGCTTTTAATTAAAATGTAATTATATCACTCCCCCTTTCCTCTTCTCCTCCCAACCACTGTCACAGCCCTGACACCTCTAACGTATGAACTCTTTTTCTTGATTATTGTTTCATATACAAACATGAATAAATGCATAAATACAACCTGCTGAGCACATTTAGAATTGCTCTTTGTTTCTAGAACTTCCTAGGGGATATAGTTAAGACCACTCAACTTTGTCTTCTTGGAGTTTGTGTTTATTACTCTTCCTTTATGCTGAAAATCATAGTTCCTAATGGCAGTTTTTGAGACAGGATCCCACATTGCTTAGGTTCACTATTGTCACTAGCTAAAGATGAGCTTAATGTCTTCTCAGCTCCTGCCTCCAACTTCTAAGTTGTGAAATTACAGACTTGAACCATCATGATGGTTGTATACATTTCTGGGAATTGAACCCAGGGCTTCTTATAGGCAACCTCTGTACTACCAATGAGCTATAGCTCCCAATGACATTAAAATAATTATACCCACTGTGTGTGTGTGTGTGTGTGTGTGTGTGTGTGTGTGTATGATTTGAATGCTTGACTATATATAGCTTCCTATAATAACAGTGGTGGGCCTGGGGTGGCCTTAGATTCAATTTCCAGCCCCAATAATAAAATTGAATGGGATCACACCCCTAGCCAATGAACTACTGACAACTAATGGCTTCTGAAAGAGAGAGAGAGAAACCTAGGGATGGGCCCCATAACTGGTTATCCGATACAAAGTGGTCATTCTAAAATCATACACACATTCACATTAACTGGACTCATCAGGTTGTATTTCTATTTTTGCATGTATTTAACAATAATAAAAATGAGGCCATTAGTTGGAGAGAGGAGCCATGAGAAAGGTTGGGGGAGACAGACAAGGAGGAGGGAAATGACCTAAGCATGTTTTAACATATAAGGTTTTCAATAAAACCATAAATACTGAGGCCAGCATGGTCTACATAGAGTTCCAGGACAGCTAGGGCTACACAGTAAGGCCCTGTCTCAATGACAATAACAACAATTAATATTTTCCCCCAGAGGATATATCCCACTGAGGAGGCATAGCCACTTTCCCCTGGTATTAAGTAACTTAAAGTCTTTCTCTGTGGGTTATGCCAGCAACTTAATTGATATAAGATTATATTGGGGGGCTGGAGAGATGGCTCAGAGGTTAAGAACACTGTCTGCTCTTCCAGAGGTCCTGAGTTCAATTCCCAGCAACGACATGGTGGCTTGCAATCATTTATAATGAGATCTGATGCTCTCTTCTGACCTGCAGACCTACATGCAGGCAGAACGCTGTATACATAATAAATACGTCTTTAAAAAGATTATGTTGCTTCATTGCATTTTATTGCCATTTTATTGTATGCTATGGCCATTCAAAACCTCCATACAGTTCTGATATCATAAATGCCTCTAGACATAATCCTTCCACCAGCATGGTGCCAGCACATCCAAGACATTCCAACAGACAACTTTTATAGTTTTGATTGTTGTTTTCTCCTGGGGGATAGGTGGCAAGAAGGAAACCAAAAGCATGTTAAGGACTATGGAGTGCAGAATAAGTCGTGAGTCGATGTTTCTTGTTGACATGAATGTAGCCATGTTCAGGAGCCCAGTGCCTCAGATCCATGCATATGGCAAACCCTTTCCCAGATGAGGCTCAGAGGGGATGGCAGAGCTTTTCTCTGGTGGAAATGCAAATGTTGACAGTTGTCAACTGCAGTTTCCTCCTGGATGGCCATAGCCTAAGATCCTAAGATTGCTTGCCCAAGAGACCTCCTACTGAGATTAGTTGACCATGTGTCCTTATTCATCTGTATACCAAAAGCCCTACTCCTTTTTTACTGTTTAAGATTTATTCATTTGTTTTATGTATTCACCATTGCTTTCTTCAGACACACCAGAAAAGAGCATCAGACTCCACTGCAGATGGTTATGAGCCACAATGTGGTTGCTGGGAATTGAACTCAGGACCTCTGGAAGAGCAGTCAGTGGTCTTAACCACTGAGCCACCTTTCCAACCCTTCCCTACTCCTTATTCACCTATGTACACTACACTGACTGTCTTGATTCAGACGTATAAAATAAACACACCAAGATTCCAGGTTGTGGCTCCAGTTGGTGACTGACCTCTATCAGCATGAGAACAACCTATGGGATCCCAGCTTTCTCGAGACTTTCTCTTCCTTAGGTCTCTGCCTTGGGCAATCCTTTCTTCATCTTTCTGACCTTCTTTATATTGACCAGACCCCTTTGTGTATGTTTTAGCACATACAGTGTCATTGTAGTGCATAGTTAACCACCACAGTTACAATTTGTCCCCACTTGCTACAGAGTAACAAAGTATCTATCACTTTCAATTTCTGTAACTGTGTGGTGCCTGTATGCCTCTCTCTCTCTCTCTCTCTCTCTCTCTCTCTCTCTCTCTCTCTCTC